GGCAGTTCTGCATGGTTGGGGAGGCCTCAGGAAATTGACAATGATGATGGAAGGGGAAGCAGGCACCTCTTACATTGTGGCAGGAGAGAGAGACAGTGAAAGAAGGAGGAACTTCCAAATACTTAAAACACCATCAGATCTTGTGAGAACTCACTCACTATCACAAGAACAGCATGGGGGAACCACCCGCACGATCAGATCCAATCGCTTCCCACCAGGTCTCTCCCTCAACACCTGGGGATTACAATTCAAGAGAGATTTAGGTGGGCACCCAAAGCCTAACCATATCACATTGATACAGACAAGATACAAAACACTCCATACTCCAAGATCCCTTGTGTTGCCCTTTCAATAGCCACGTCCACTCTTCTCCCATCTGACCCCTTCCCTAACCTCTGGCAACCACTAATCCACTCTCCATTTCTCTAATTTTGTCATTTCAAGCATGTTGGAATGGAAACATACCAGCCTGGCCAACAAAGTGAGACTGCATCTCTGGGGAGAAAAAGAAAATTAGCCGGGCCTGGTGGCACGCGCCTACTACAGGTAGCTGGTGTCCCAGCTACTTGGGAGGCTGGGGTGGGAGGATGGCTTGAGCCTGGGAGATGGAGGCTGCAGTGAGCGGCAATTGTGCCACTACTATGCTCCAGCTTGGGCTACAGAGTGAGACCATGTCCAAAAAAACAAAAACAAAACGCAACCTCTGTTCTGCAAAAGACACTGTTGAGGGAATGAAAAACCTACCACCCTACCAATCGGGGACTGGTTATTAAATGGTCCTGCTGGAATGGAAGCTCTAATAGTGGTGTGGGGGTGGGGGATGTCTTCCGTTTGCCCCTCCTTATCTACTGTCCCTGCTTCTCCACCTTACTCTGGGCCCCAGGTAGAGGGGAGAGGAGGTCAGATGTTTGTTCACCAGGGTTCCTCCCTGCGCTGGGCCACCACTATTCGTCTGTTTCCTCCGTCAATCTAAGTTACTGTCTCCTCCCCAAGTCAGGCAACCACATGCACACCCTCAACCCTCTCCCCTTCCTTCAGGCCTGTGAATGAGGCCCCTCACCCGTGCTGGCCCCAGGAGCTTGCACTAGCTCTCGTCATTTGCCTTTACTATCCAATCGCTTTATAAAGGCTTCTGGTATCAACCCCACCTCAAATTATCCTAAATTGACGGGCCCATCTGTTTCCTGCTGGGCCCTAACTGATACACTATAATTAAAGATGTGGGAGAATGCAAATGAGAGATAATGGTAAGACATAAAAAGCCAGCTACCAAACTGTATACAGCATGGTTCCAATTTGGGTGAAATTGCTCACAGAAAGGAAAACAAAAGGAGGAACAGTGACAAATTGTTAAAAAATATTTACCTCCAGGAGGTGAAATATAAGACTTACTTTAACTCTCCAAGTTGTATGTTTTGTATTGATGGAATCTTTTTACAAGGAACAAGTGTGACACTGACAGTCAGAAAACATATGCACAAATAAACACATGGAAAATTCCTATGCATTGGGACGAATTGTTCCAGAAGTGGGATGAGGGATAAGAGGAGGATGGTGAAGTTATAGGTGATGCTTTTTCTCTTTTATGCTTTTGTGTATTTTTCAAGCTTTATCCACTGAACATGCATGGCTAATTTTATCAGAAAAATAAGTAGATTTTATGTTTAACAAAAAGAGATTGATTGAGACAGACAGAGAGACCCGGGTCAGGATGCTTGTTGGAAAAAATGAATAAGAAAGATGGAGTCACACAAAGCCAGAGACAGAGACAGGAAGAGAGAGAGAGAGAGAGAGAGAGAGAGAGAGAGAGAGAGAGAGAGAATGGAGCTGCTACAAAGCCAGAGACAGAGACAGGAAGAGAGAGAGAGAGAGAGAGAGAGAGAGAGAGAGAGAGAGAGAGAGAGAGAGGAGGAGGAGGCAGATAAAGAGTAGGAGGGAGAGGCAGTGGAGAGGTGGTGGTAGAGGGAGAGAGGAGAGCAGTGAATTTGTGGAGCTGATTTTTGATGCAGGAGTGGAGAGGGATGAAGAGCGGAGGCTGTTTTAGGGAGAGAGAGAGAGAGAGAGAGAGAGAGAGAGAGAGAGAGAGAGAGAGCGCGCACAAAACATAGGAGGATATGCTGAAAAAGATAAGTAAGGGCAGTTATGGCATAGAGAACAAGCTTTGAAACTGGGCAGTGTGTGGGTTCAAACCCCACCTCTGCCATTTATTAGCTGTGTATCTTGGAACAGTTCCTTTACTTTACTGGGCCTCAGTGTTCCAGCTGTAAAATAAGGTAATAGAACCTCCCTTTTGTGTCTTTTTTATTTTTTGAGATGGCGTTTCACTCTTGTTGCCCAGGCTGGAGTGCGATGGTACGATCTCGGCTCACTGCAACCTCTGCCTCCCGGGTTCAAGTGAGTCTCCTGCCTCAGCCTCCCGAGTAGCTGGGATTACAGGCACGCACCATCATGCCCGGCTAATTTTGTATTTTTAATAGAGATGGGATTTCTCCATTTTGGTCAAGCTGGTCTCGAACTCCCGACCTCAGGTGATCTGCCTGCCTCGGCCTCCCAAAGTGCTGGGATTACAGGCATGAGCAACCGTGCCTGGCTTGTGTCTTTTTTTTTTTTTTTTTTTTTTTTTTTTTTTGAGACAGTCTCTCACTCTGTTGCCCAGGCTGGAGTGCGGTGGCACAGTCATAGCTCACTGCAGCCTCAACCTCCCAGACTCAAGAGATCCTTTCATCTCAGCTGCATGAGTAGCTGGGACTACAGGTGCATGCCACTGTCAGAGGCATTTGAACCAGAGCGACTCCATCTTGAGTGAGGGCTAGGAAAAATGAGGCTGGGACCTGCTGAGCTGCATTTCCAGGAAGTGAGGCATTCCTAGCCTCTAGATGTTTACTGTTAAGGGAACAGATTGATAACGTTTACTAACAGACCCAGACTCAGGAATGTCCTGAAATCCCGTTATCTTGAGAACAGAAGCATTCCTCATTTTGCTTTAAAGATAGTAATATCGGTTCTTGCAAAATATGGTAATTAAGAAATTTAATCCTTTATCACAAACCCTTGCAGCAGAGCACATTGCCCCATGATATTTTTTGTTATTCAACATATAAACAAGCATTGTACCTAGGGTGGGCCCATTCCTCTTACTTTCAGGAACACCCTACTTTGTCTATGGAGTAACTATTCCTTCACCACTTTGCTTTTTTTTTCCTCACTCTCTTCCCCAGGTTGGAGTGCAGTGGCATTGCAATCTTGGCTCACTGCAACCTCCGCCTCCTGGGTTCAAGCAATTCTCCTGCCTCAGCCTTCCGAGTAGCTGGAACTACAGGTGTGCACCACCACACCCGGCTAATTTTTTTTGAATTTCTAGTAGAGACAGGGTTTTGCCATGTTGGTCAGGCTGGTATTGAACTCCTGACCTCAAGTGATTCACCTGCGTCGACCTCCCAAAGTGCTGGGATTACAGGTGTGAGCCACTGTACCCAGGCACCGCTTTACTTTTTAAAGTAAACTTGCTTTTGCTTTGCACTGTGGACTCGCCCCAAATTCTTTCTTGCACAAGATCTAAGAACCCTCTCTTGGGGTCTGGATTGGGACCCTTTTCCAGTAACACCACCATGGCCAGTGAATTTTTTAATCCCTTTTTTAGAGACAGGGTCTCACTATGTTGCCCAGGCCGGTCTCAAACTCCTGGGCTCAAGCAATCCTCCTTCCTCAGCCTCCCAAAGTACTGGGATTACAGGCCTGAGCCACTGTGCCCAGTTTTGTGTCATTTTTGACGATGAAACTGTCACCTGTAAATGGAGTTGTTTCCTTGCTCTGCATTGGTTGCAAAGAAAGAACACCCAGTTGGAAACAAAAAGGCAAATAGATTTTATTCCTGGCTAGGATGGGGAAGGAGAGAACTCTTGCTCTAAAGACACCTTATCCCTGGGTGCGCTCATGCCTGTACTCACATCACTTTGGGAGGTCAAGGTGGGCGGATCACCTGAAGTCAGGAGTTTGAGGCCAGCCTGGCCAACATGGTGAAACCCCATCTCTGCTACAACTACAAAAAACTAACAAGGCGTGGTGGCATGTGCCTGTAATCCCAGCTACACAGGAGGCTGAGACAGGAGAATCCCTTGAACCCGGGAGGTGGAGGTTGCAGTGAACCGAGATTGTGCCACTGCCCTCCAGCTTGGGCAACAAGAGTAAAACTCCATCTCAAAACAAACAAACAAACAAACACCTTATCGCCCAGCGGTGGGGAGCTGGGAAATTTTAAGGAGTTAGCTATGGGGTGGGATGGTATGTAAGCTTGCGCAGGAAGCAACTCCAGACGCAGGTCGGATCATAAGCATGCCTCTTCATATGATGTATGTTCAGCAAATGGTGAGCATATTTTCCTCCATGGGTAGGGAGTTTAGCATGATAATTATATATTAATGATCTAAAGGTAACCACGGGTCACTGTGTCTGGTTTGCACTTGTTTTGCCTCAGCCTTATCTTCCTCCAGTAATAAGCAAAGGAGGCATTCTGAAGATCCTGTGGCCTTTTTGGCCATCTGCAGTTCTTTTAAGCAATGCACCTATAGATAAAGAGACTAGAAAAAAAACGGTTTAAGAAAATAATGAGGCCAGGTGCAATCCAAGCATTTTGGGAGGCTGAGGCAGGCAGATGGCTTGAGCTCAGGAGTTAGAGACCAGCCTGGGCAACACGGTGAAACCAGGTTTCTACAAAAAATGGTGGTGGCGCCCACCGGTAGTCCTAGCTACTTTGGAGAATGAGGTGGAGGATTGCTCCAGCCTGGGAGGTTGAGGCTGCAGTGAGCTGTGACTGCACCACTACTACAGCCTGGGCAACAAAGCAAGACCCTATCTCTAAAATAAAATAAATAAAATAAGCGTTCTCTTTCTCAGCTACACCTCCAGGGCTGCCCTGGTACAAAAATGAGATGATATGTCTGTGTCAATTACATAGAAGAGGGCCTGATGTATAGTCAACACTACACAAGGGCTGGTTGTGATTGCAGAACGAAGATAAGGACAACCAGGGTGAAGCAAAGAAAAAGGAAACAGACAGTAGAAACAGGGACAGAGACAATTTGGAAACCGAGTGTTGGAAGGTAGCCATCCCGGGCACAGGCCAACCTTGGGTTGAAGTCCTCACACCCGACTGGGATCCCAGAGGCCTGGGGCCAGCTCTGATGTTGGGAAAGCTTGCCCTGGACAGGAAAGTCCGGCTGCAAACCCCATTCTCAGCCCTGCACATAAAAGCCACCATGGACCATCGAGGCACTGTTGCCCAAGTGGAGACTGCTCTGGACACCTCCCAGGGGACACTGGACAGCAGCACCTGCAGCAGCACGAGGCGCAGAGAGTGCATTGCAGAGAGGAGTGAGGGCAGAGGCCAAGGCGAGGAGGGGGCCGGTTCCCGCTCTCTCCCCCTGTGTGTGCTGCGCCTTCAGGCTCCGAGCATCGCCTCCCCTGCGAGCCTAACCCAAGGCGGGGGTCTGGACGCGCGGGACCCTCTCTTTGGTTTCCCTGACGTCTCTCGCCTGCTGCAGAAGCAGAGATGCGGCCGAGTGTCTGGGCCGCGGTGGCCGCCGGGCTGTGGGTCCTGTGCACGGTGGTCACAGCGGCCCCCCGGCGCTGCCTGCTCTCGCACTACCGCTCGCTGGAGACCCGGACGCTGGCGGCGGCCAAGGCGCTGAGGGACCGCTACGTAAGTCACCGCCCAGCCCCTGCGCCCCGTGGGACTCTGGCCCCACCGGGTTCCCATACACCCGTCCCTGTCCCCAGGGCTCCTGCGTCCTAGCGCCCAGCAGGCGCCTCTCGTATGTCAGCGCCCGCAATTCCCACCAGGAGACCCCCGCAGTCCCCGTCGTCAGCGCGAACGCAGGCTTAGGGTCAGTCACAGAAGGGCGCCCTGACGGGCGGACTCGGCTCCAGGTCAGGGCGCAGGGCTTTCCTGGAGGAGCGCGGGGTGCAATTCAACCCGGGTTCACGCCTTCGGGGAGCTCCCTGGTTCAGTATACGACAGGCACGACCGTACACTGCCAGTACCCATCCACGTCCAGGAATCCCAGACTGTGCAGAGGTTAGGGGCCCTGGGGAGGGGGCCCAGCATACGCGAAAAGTGCCGCTTATCCCTCAGGAGGAAGAGGCGCTGAGATGGGAGCCGCGCAACTGCTCCTTCCGCCCCAGGAGGGATCCTCCGCGGCCGTCGGTGAGGCCCGGGAGCGGGCGGGGAAGGCATGGACCGGGCGCGGCCCCCTCTAACGCCCTCTGGTCCCTGCAGTCCTGCGCTCAGCTCCGCCACGTGGCCCGGGGCATCGCGGACGCCCAGGCCGTGCTCAGCGGCCTGCACCACCCGGAGCTGCTCCCCGGCGCCGGCCCGATCCTGGAGCTGCTGGCGGCCGCGGGGAGGGACGTGGCGGCCTGCGTGAGTGACGACCGCGCCCGCCGCCCCTCGCCCTCGCCAGCTTCTCTGCATCCTCAGGCCCACGGCATGCCCCAGCGCTTTGCGAATCTGTCCCGCTTAGCGGAAAAACCGATCCAGACCCGATTCGGGTCCTCTGGGTGTCCTCAAATCCGGGCTCGGGTCTGCGGCTGGGAGGGTCACGGGCAGATGCAGAGGGGAGCTTCGTCCTTCGCCTTCTCCATTTGCCTCATGTCCTACCTCCAGCTCGAGCTGTCACGACCAGGCTCCTCCAGGAAGGTCCCCGGGGCCCAGAGGAGGCGTCACAAACCGCGGAGAGCTGTGAGTGCAGCAGGCAATACAGGGTTAGCCTGCAGGGAGGACCGGGCGAGGCTGACAAGGACGGGACTGAGGCTGGGAGAGCGGGACTGGTGGGGGCTTCTCGGGAGGGAAGAGCCAGGCTTAGCCCCGCTGCGCTCCCTCCTGGGCTCTAGGACTCGCCTCGGTGTCGCGAAGTCAGCGTGATCTTCAACCTCCTGCGCCTGCTCACGTGGGAGCTCCGACTGGTTGCTCACTCCGGGCCTTGCCTCTGACCCCGCCCCCTCCGGCACCACCTAAACCTCCACGCCATTGGCTGCCGAAAGCGGCTCCTGTCGCCCATTGGAGTGACCAGACAAGGCTCTCAGCCAATGGGTGCTGAGGCACGAGAACTTCTTTGCAGCTTTGGGCCTGACTTGGATCCACTGTCTCAGATACAAGATGAGTGGGTCCTTCTACAGGGAAGAGAGTA